CCAGTATCGATACTGGTAATGGTATTGATCTCAAGGAATGTGGCATTTTGTGTGAGTACTTGTACACATGCTGGTTTTGGGCCCAGTACCAGCACATTGGGACATCACTAATTTAAAATCAAAATGATAAGAGTTTTATTCTGGTCTGACTGATGAGCTGATGGCTAGTCTGAGCAATAACGTTTGAGTTTGTGTTTCAGGACGTTGACAGTGAAGGTCCGGAGCCGTCAGACTGGGACAAATACGCCTCAGAGGAGTACGAGATACTGGTAGCAGAGGAGACGGCTAACGAGCAGCTGCATGAAGGGTAACACGTGCTAGTCACGTCAAAAACCAGTTTGTCAAGAAATTAGTACAAACTTTTTGAATGTCCACTGTGTTCTCAGGGGATTCGATGACGACTACGAGGCTGAGGAACTACAAGAGCCTGGAGAGATTGGGAATAAAATGGAAAAACTGGTCATATCCAACCTGACGGCATAAAAAAACTTCTGACTCCTCCTTCAAAACAACACACCCAGAGGGCTTTTTGGGATTTTCGTATCCAAAAACACACAGCTAACAGTGGAATCCCCTAACATTGGAGTGTGTGTGTGTGTGTGTGTGTGTGTGTGTGTGCATTGTTGTTGCAGAACAAAAAAACAGAAACTCTTTTTCAAATGTTCTGATAAGTTTGAAACTGGAACACTTTCAACTCTGAAGTTCCACTACTGGAACGCAGCAGAAGCTCTGAACCTGGAGTGACAGAATCTTCTTCACCGACACCCCCACCCTCTGGATCTCACGGACCCTACCACTCTGCGCCTGCTCCAATCTCCCCACCTTCAAGAAAAAACTCAAAACCTACCTGTTATCTGCCCTTTTCATGTTTTTATGTGTTGTGGTGTACTATCTTGAAATAGTGGAATCAACAGATCTCAGGCGTAGCTCATGCATCAGTTCTCTATTTACTCTCTTCTTTAGTGATGTGATGTTCACGAACGATCCGAATCTTTTGAACGACTCTTTACATTGAACGATAGGAGCCGAGTCATGGGCAGTAACAAGACATTTCTAGTTTAATTTGTTTTATTCCTCATATAATCTTTATTTTTTCATACTTAAAATCACTCCCGCTTTGCTTTTTCCCAGAAAACAGGCAGAGTTGTGGAGAACAGAAGCTCACGGGAAAGGGGGAGGGGGGTTTCTGCTTGACAAAACACATGGCTCCACCCACGTAACATGATGATGTCATCACGTTGCCATACGTGATGACATAACTCGTTCAAAATTTTGAACGGCTCTATGAAACTAAAGGCTCCCCAAGATCAGGATCCCTTCAAAGAACCATTTATCCCATCACTACTCTTCTTCTCCTCTGTTACATCATATTTGGTTACATACATAGTCAGAGCTCCTCCTGCTGTCATTTTCATGCAATAACAGGACATGACATTATGTGTTGCCTTGCATTGCTTGATTCAATATTATAATTCTGCTGTACTATTGTTATTATTATAAACACTAGAAACCAGATTTGAGACAAGGGACAGCCCCGGCAGAGTCCAACCTGCACTGATGTGGCGGGTGCTGTGTGATAATAATTACCAACTTAAATTCAAAAACACTGTTTTAGAAAAATAAGATTGATTATAATAACTCCACTTTGAAAGTTACCATAAGGCACGCAGACCCACTTACAGATGAGGCTTGAGACGATTTCACAATTGTAAGGTTGTTTATTATATCCTGATTTTAATTCAAAAATACTAGATTAAAACCTCTCACACATTAAAAATCAGTTCTGGCTCAACTCAGGGAGGAGTGCAATTCAGGGTAGTGTCCTAAAGAAAAGAAAAACCCAGCAAACGGAACAAAGTAAACAAAAGAAAATTGTGCACCAAACCAATTAGGAGTACCACCACCCGGAAAGTCCACCACCAACACCACGAGCTGGCCGTTCCTGTAAAAATAAAAGAAAGGCACTTTAAAATCACAAACAATAAAATACCAATCAGTCTACAACCAATCAAGTAGTAATAGCCCAAATTCAGCAAGTCCATCCTGGAAGGAACCGATCCGTTGTAACAAACACCACTCAGGGCGGCACCAGAAGGGTAGTCGGAGCTGATTACCAATCAGCCCAAATCAGCCACACTGGACGAGTGATGGGAGCCAGCTTTACGCTGACCAGTACGGCGAGCCCCAAAGCCAGCACACAGGACGACAGGTAAGTGGCCGACCGACCATCCAGCGGGCAGATGGACCACCAGTCGGGGACAACCAGAACAGCAGGCAGACAGCCAGCCAAGGACAAACAGTTGGCCCAGGACAAACAGTTGGCCCAGGACAAACAGTCGGCCCAGGACAAACAGTCGGCCCAGGACAAACAGTCGGCCCAGGACAAACAGTCGGCCCAGGACAAACAGTCGGCCCAGGACAAACAGCAGCGGCACTTGAGCTTCTTTAAGAAGGGCCTCTAGCAGGGAAGGAGGAACTGGAAGCGTGTACAGGCGGCCAGAAGGACGATTGGTCGACGATCAGGGCGTCATTAAGCACATTGTTCATGTGCGCATTACTTTGCAGCTAGCAAGCGGCACCGATAAATGCCGCGGTCTGAACCGGAAGGAGAACAACGTGATGTCAACCAGGTGAGAGAGGGCCCTTTTTAGACAGGCAGCCAGCGCCACGACCAATCAGATGCAGGCACTTGTGTGGTGCGTTCAAAGCCTACATGGCATACTGCCACACTGAGAACGAGCTCGACTTTGTGCCAAGGAAGAGGACACAGCTCCTGCTTTTGTTCTACAAGAACTGTATCACTGTTATTACCAACCCCGACACTCCATACTCCCACAGAATGCCTTGAGGAACACTGTCGTAAGCCTTCAAGTCTACGAAACATGTAGACTGGAGAGACAAACTCCCACAACCCCCTTAGCAACTCTGCAAGGGTAAAGATCTGGTCCAGTGTTCCAGGACCAGGACTGAAGCCACATTCTGGTCCACTGTTCCAGGACCAGGACTGAAGCCACATTGCTCCTCCTAAATCCAAAGTTCGACAATCGATCAGAGTCTCCCTTCCAACACCCTGGAGTAAACTTTCCCAGGGAGGGTGAGAAGTGTGATCCCACCAGAGGCGATTGCTCTAAGACTGCACTAAAATGTAAAAAAAAAAAAAAAGTGATCAAATATACACTGTTGTGTGTCTATGTCATTAGATAAATATGCACTACAACGTGCTCAACTTTTATTCAGAATCAGCTTCTTATCACTGTTAACGACGCAGCTTTCCTCTCCCTCATTCCTGCAGCTTCACAGAGCTTTAAACAGTCGGACGCTGAGCGTCCACAGACTTCAA